GGCGGGCTGCGTATGACGGATATAGAAACAATGATCAAAGCGCTGAGATTAGCATGGATACCAAGACTCACACGAGAGGGCCATCGCAATTGGAAATTGATAATTAAGCAAGTCAAGATGTCAATGCTTGGATGGTTTCGTATCGCTCCACTGAGATCCACGATGAAATGTATATATTGTATCTTCTATTGAGATTACAAACATTTTGTGGCAGCGCTTACATGTGGTATAAAATTTGAAATGTTCAGTTTTAGAGAAGCTTCCCGCTCCTTTTTTTCTTATAGTTCTATTGTATTGATTTTGATAGGATGAATGTCAGGTACTTCTGACAGAAGAACCCGCTAATGTAGAACAGTCAGAAAGGCTTACAAACACTTCTGAAAAGACAAACGAGAATGTGAGTGGGAAAAAGGATGCTGAACGTAATGTGAGCGCATTGATTTTTTAAATGAGCCCAAAAAACTTTATTATTATTATTATTATTATTATTAAAAAGGTAACTAGTCATAGTAAACATTGATAATTAAGCAAGTTGAGACGTCAGATGTTAAATCCAACAATCTTAAGTGGTTACTTATCTTGATCACTTATTTTTTCTAACCTTTTAAATAAAAACATTGACCCTGTGATTAATAGCCAGACAGGTTTCTTTTTCCCTGTACTTGTTATTTCCTTTTTTATTTGTCTTTTATAGGATGAACCTCAAGAGTCTGCACCTCCCGCCTCACCAGAAATGCTTGCATCTTCAACGTCAAAGCTGCCTCCAAAGCCAAGACGTTTATATCAGGACCAGTTGAGCTTCCTCGATGACCTTCTCAAAAAGAGAGATGTTTCTATACATGAAAAACTAGACAATTATTGAAAACCAGAAAGCATTTTTTAAGTTTATGGCTGATCTAATGAAGGGAGGGTTTGCAGGTACACATGTACGTAATGACATTAATCAGGGCATGTGCCAAATATGGAGGGAGAGTCAAATGTTTCGGAAGGGAGGGACAGGGCATCAAGTGTTTCAGTAGGGGGCACGGGGGGTCAAATGTTTCAGCAGGGAGGGATAGGGCAACAAGTGTTTCAGAAGAGAGGGAAAGGGCATCGAGTGTTTCAGTAGGGAGGGACAGGGGGTCAAATGTTTCAATAGGGAGGGATAGGGTATCAAGTGTTTCAGAAGAGAAGGACAGGGCATCAGGTGTTTCAGTAGGGAGGGATAGGACATCAAGTGTCTCGGAAGAGAGGGATTGGGAAACTTCAAATTTTGTTGCTGAGGACATATCGAGAGGAATAAGCGACATTTCCATTGTTATGGGAGAATCATGTAGCTTGGGGGAGGGATACAGGGAAAATAATATTGTTTCACAGGGAAGTTTGCAGGATATTTCAAATGTTATGGGAAGGTCAGGTCAGGGATCCATGGAAAGTATTGTTTCATGGGGAAGTGGAGAAAATTGAATTTTAGGGGATATTTTCAATGTTATGGAACGGCCAAGCGCTTTGGACGAGGGTTATAAGGAAATTGATGTTTCACGGGAACAGTCACTGGGAGAGGAGGATAAAATATTTATGGGGAAGGCATTACTTTTGAAGTGTTCAAGTTGTAGCATGGGAAATTTTACCTCTAAGTTTTTACGGTCAGCGGTCAGCGAGAACGGGGGACGGTCAGCGGTCCGTGAGAAAGATGGCGGTGATTTTTGGGCTTTGTTAAATCTAAAGTGAATTTAGCTTATCAAAGCTGCATTTTCCTTTTTTTTCTTCTTTTTTTCGTGTTACATGTTTTCTTAATCTATCTACGTACCATTATGGGAGGTCTAACGACAGAAGAATTCAAGAAACTGTTGAAGGCTTTAGAGTCTATGCAGATCGATTGACGAAATGAAGAAGTCTATGGCCACTGCGAACTCTAATTATGACCCACTACTAACAGAAATCTCAACCTACGAAAAAGGAATGTCAGATCTGGTTAATGAGAACAAGAGCCAAAAAGCTGAGCTCCTGGATACTATAAACCAGTTAAAAGCTTTGAAGGAATCACTTAACGACCTTGAACAATACTCGAGATGAGACTGCTTGGAAATTTGGGGTATTCCAAAGAGTTCTAGTGACACGCGGGAAGATACCAACGAAATAGTTGTTGAGCTTGGTCGAAAGGTTGGAGTTGACCTGAAAAAAGAGGATATATCAACCAGCCATCGTCTTCCAAGTAAAGTGAAAGCAAATGGGGAAAGAGCTTTGTTCCCACCTTCCATTATTGTGAAGTTTACAAGCCAGGATGTTCGTGAGAAACTTTATCGAGTCAGGGAGGTCCTCAAGGACATAACATCGCAAGACTTAGGCTATTCCAAGGAGAATAGAATCTTTATTAATGAAAGTCTCACTCAAAGCAACAAGGAACTCTTTAAAGTGCCACTAACCCCAATTTTTTTTTCCTTTAATAAAATCTACTAGTTTCCCTGATTACTTCTGCGAAAAAATTATCTCGGTTGATAAAATCCCCGTGTTTCCACAGGTGTTTAAACACAAAATTTCTATGTTCACGACCACGCAAAGTGGGATCTGGGTCGGGCTACTAGTGA